GGGGGGGGGGGGGGGGGGGGGGGGGGGGGTGAAACATTCGTCAACAATTTTTTTTTGGTATGGAATACTGACTGATGTGTTCAACAAAAAAACTGTTTTAATTTAAAAATCTAATCCTAACTGAACAGCAGCTCACAGATCATACCTTAGTTTTCAGTAGTATAAAACACTATGAATTGATAAAAATTTTGACTTTTTTTTTGCTACTATTTGTATTTTAAAATAAACAGTTAGTGGTATGTTTTTTTTTTTGGAAATTTATATTCTTGATGTTAACACCTGATAACCCATTGTACGTACAATCAGAAATCTTTCTCCAAGAGATAATTTCCAATTTTGATAGTTGAATTTTGCTAACGAATAAAGGGAAGAGAGTCTGTACCAAAAATGTTCTTCTTATTCTTCTTCTGTCTGTTATCCCATCAAAAAACAAAAAAAAAAAACAGATTCTTCTGTAGGTTTTTTTACGTCAAGTTTTTTCAACTTCCATTTTATCATCCATCCACTTTTAACAACTAATATTACACCACATAGCACACACACTCTGTTAAATTTCTATTCAAATAGATTAGTGTGTGTGTGTGTATGTAAAGCATGCTTTAACACTTGAAAAAAAAAAAAAAAGCTTTAGTTATTGTCTTCAACAAATTGTTGTGGCTAAAGACAAAAAGTTCAGGTTTATATATCAGGTGCAAAATACTTGAAGTTTTTTTTTTTTTTTTAACTATTTTTCTCTTTTTTTTCTTACTACCAATAGTTGATGTACTTCAACAAAAACTGCGTAAACGTAGTTTACTATCGTCATATCGAGCAGGTAAAGTTAGTTGTAAAGCAAGTGTTTTTTTGCAAAGTAGTTTCTCCTCTTCTTTCAAAAAGAGAACAAAAAAAAAAAATTCTAGTTTTAGTAGTACAGTTTTTTTTTTTCCTCTACCTTAGTTTTTTAAAAAGCTGATTAATATAAGCATTCTTTTTAAACCAAAACTTTTTTCTCTCCTCAGTAGAAACCACAATCACTTTTGACATCTTCTAAAGTTTATTTGGTTGATTTTTTTTGTGGTCAGTAGTAAAAGCTATAAATTTGTGTAAAGTATAGCAAAAAAATAAATAGATTTGTGCCTATCAACGTTGCGAAACTGTTCAGTCTCTTCTATTCAGAAGCAGAGAAGATAATAATCAAAAGAAAAAAAAAAACGAAGATTAGCTAGAAAAAGAATATGAATATCTGAAAAAAAAAAACTGCAAAATATTTAAGCTGCCCAATGAGAGCATCAACATTTAGGTTCAAAAAACTTTTCAGTAATAACGAGCAACAGTGAAACACTCAACAATGCTCTTGAAATTCTGAATTTAGAATCTGGATTTGCTGGAAGGTTTATTGGAAACTTGGAGAGCTGAGGTCTTAAACAATTGAAGACTACTACTATCACAAATCGCTTGGGCGCTCAGAGACGGACAACCGGAATTTGCCTGATTTGTGTACAATACAGAAACAAAGTACTTCTGATGAACTACCCCAACCAAACGAAAGCACATTAACAAAGGGTCCAGTCCAGACAAAATGTTCAACAAACGACTAAACTGTTTTTGAAGGAGGAGGACGGGGGGGAGGGGGGGAGGGAGACTAATTGTTGTCCATAAACTGTAAACCTATTGTATAAATTACAAAAAAAAAGACCATTTTTTTGTAAAATTAACGCTTTTTTTTTTCCAACAAAGCATCTTATCTTCGTGTGTTAAAGACAGTCAACAGTTGACAATATGTAAGTTTGTTTTATTTCTGTAAAGCCTAATTTTAAGCTTAAAGTTTTTTTAAAGAAATTTTATTTAGACACACACACAAACAGAAAAAAAAAAAAAAGAAAGCCGATGCTTACAAAGAACTGTTGAAGACTTGTCGACATTGGGGACTTTGTTTCGGAAATCAATACTTAACTTTTTTTTTTTTACCGACTAGAAAACAAGTGCAAACTGAGAACAACATAGATGGCAAAAAAAAAAATTATGTCGTCTCAAATACACCACGACGGGGTACAGTAACCGGAGTTCTTGAATTGATGACAACGTTCAGATGAAAGATGTTGGTCGCCTGGTTGTTGAATATGTGATATATGCTTTTAATCAAATCGACAGCATTAGCAAATTTCAACAACAGGCAGTAATAATAGTAATAATCATCTGCTTCAAAAAAAAAAAACAGAAACTGTCAACCACTGATGATGATCAATTGCATCGATCACACTTTGGATAATTTTAGAAGGATATTTGAAAAACAAATTATCATCACTTTCATTGTGCTTTTTTATTTGTTGTTTAATAAACAGACAGACACTGTGATCTGTTGTTAAAATATTCCCACTTACTCAGAGATTTAATATTTTAAAAAAAAATTTATTTTTTTTTCAATAATATTTTGTTAATAATTATATTCAATGTTATATTATCACAGTTTGAAATGTAAAGCCGTTCAAGTTGTGCAAACAAAAAATTTCAAAAAATTTAGACACTTTTTTTTTTCAATCGTTTTGTCTTGCAACATATATATGGTATCCAATATTGCAGTGTTGAAGTGGTTTGTTTTTTTTTTCTTTTTGCCACTGTAATTTTAAATTTAATTTTTAGCAATAAACAGGACGACAATAAACGTCAATATATTCGGGGGCTAAAGATAGCCGTAGCAAACCAAATTGATCAGTGATGTATCAATATCAATGTACCAAATTGAAATTGAACTGTTAACAGTAAAGAAAGAAAGTTTGTTTGATGCTAAA